TCGTCTGATGAGACGCAGCCCAGCGTGGGGCCGCCAAGGAGCCCCCCTTCCCTCGGCAGCAAGTCGTGGGCGCCCAGCTTACGCTGCGGGCACTGCACCTCCTCGAGCGTTGCGCGGTTCCCGACCTCCCGGTGTTTCTCGATGCAGTAATTGTGGAACTTGCGAGCGCAGCCAAGATATATGCTCTCGTCGGTGACGTCCTCGAAGCCCGCCTGGCAGATGACGCAGGCATTGTCTGCCATTGCTGAGAGCGCGCTGCGCTACCCCAAAAGCCGCCAGTAGCGGCCGTTGAGCCGAAATGGCTGCAGCGACAGCGCATTGCGCTCACCCTCACTGAGCGCATTGCGCTCTATCCGAATATACATACAGACTCTTAGAGCGCATTGTGCTGCCTTTAGGGCGCATTGCGCTGTGTTCCCACGGGGAAGCATTTCTCTAGCGACGAGAACGCCATGTAAATCGCGCTGCCAAACCGCGCGGACCGCACCCTGAGATCGCCACGGGCTTCCGGCCAGTACGAGTGTCAGTCCAGTAGGCCCAGGGCTTTCTTTGGGCAGTAGCCCAAATTTGTGTGACCGAATACTGCGTGCCCGAACCGACTGCACCATGTACACACATCAGGTTGGCTGGATTGACCGCCGATCATCGAGAATGCGCTGTAACCTGTAGCCAATGGGCTCGCTGTCGTAGAACAACTTGCACTGGCAACCGTTCATGAAAATCGTTCTTGGGCTCCGCCCGCTTCTTCGGCGTCTCCACGGGATCGAACTTCTGCTTGCGCATCATGCGCATGTACATGTAAGTCTTCGTCGTCGGCCTCCACGGCCCACCACCTTCTCTCAAAGGCTCCTCGACGAATGAAGCGCTGATCTTGTGGTTGAAATCCACGTGGCCAAATTTGAACGTCTCCGTTGAACATATCCCCCAATGCTCGGACTCGGAGCAATCGGGGCAAGAATCCGAAGGCGGCGCCCACCACTTGGCCGTCCGTGCCCCCCAAACCCTCTGCAGCAAAGAGTCCCCCGCGTTCGACCCCATGTCCAAACCCGCGGGCGCAATGCCTGAGGACAGCAGCTGTGACATCCTGTCACAGCAGCTGAGAGCGCGCTGCGATATCCCAAAACCGCCAGTAGCGGCCGTTGAGCCGAAACGGCTGCAGCGACAGCGTATTGCGCTCACCCTCACTGAGCGCGTTGCGCTGTATCCTAATATACATACAGACTCTTACAGCGCATTGCGATGCCTTTAGAGCGCATCGCGCTGTGTTCTCACGGGGAACCACTTCTCTAGCGACGAGAGCGCCATGTAAATCGCGCTGCCAACCCGCGCGGGCCGCACCCTGAGATCGCCGCGGACTTCCGGCCAGTAGAGTGTCAGCCCAGTAGGCCAAGGGCTTTCTCTGGGCACTCTTAGAGCGCATTGGGGCGCATTCTCATTGGTTCTGTCTTCAGAGCACATTGCGCTGTATTCTCATTGGTTGTCTTTCATGTGTCACACCTGTATGCTTCGAGAACGGAACCATCCCCACGGAATCCCCCGAGTAGCTGCTATGGGCGTCCAGGATGATCCCATATGGCGGAGGCAGAAAAAAAGGGCGATGGTTCGCGACGTTGCGCGGCCACCATCACAAGTGAACACGATTGTCCGCGACGCTGCGCGGCCACCATCAGACTGTGAAACGGTGGGGGCAGCAGTAATAGTATAGTCATGTCCTTATATTGATGCACGCCATCAGAGAGAAGCGCAGTGGCCTGGAGCCCCCCCCGCCTTTCTTATGTACTGTCCGTTGCCACCTAGGCTCGAAGACGTACCAAGCGACCCGACGCTTGCCCCCCTCCCCCCCGACGCTCGGCCCGACGCCCATGCCCAACGGCAGCCCGACCAACAGACGCGGGCCTCGACAAGAAGGTGAAGGGCGCAACCCGCCAGAAAACACTCTACGAGCACAACCGTTGGAAAACGACTTGCGCGGACGATGGTTGGCCAGGGGCGTTGGTCGCCCTTGAATGGAACGCGCGCGGCGGCCATGTCGGGGGGGCGTGGAAGCGGGCGCAACCGCCCGCACCAGGGCCAAAGCGCAAGGCGCTCAAGGAGCAGAACGAGCTGGCAAAGCTGCGGGACATCGCATTCGTCAGGGCCGGAATCCCCGCTATCGACCCCGAGGAGGAGCAGGGCGGCGAGCAGGCCAAGGGCAACGGCGAGATCATGCGCAGGCCAGCCAAGAGCCAGCAGAGCCAGCGCAAGGCCAAGGCCAAGGCCAAGGCCCAAGCCAAGGCCAAGCCCAAGGGCACGGTACGCGGCGGCAACTGAGTAGGGAGAGCTCATTTGCCATTCAATTTTAATAAGGCGAGGACTGTGGGCGGCTAGCATCACGGAAAAACGCAAGTTCACGAGCGCCTGACCCAGGCGGCGGTGGGGCGGATTTCGCTGGGACTCATGGGGGAATGAGCCCCCCGAGTGCGGTGGCACCCCGATAGCACCCCGCGCGACCGTCCGATAACACCCCGATAACACCTCCAGAACACCCCGATAACACCCAATAGCAATGTTATCGACGTGTTATCGAAGTGTTGTCGAAGTGTTATCGAGTGTAATCGGGCTCGATAACACTCGATCGCATCTCGATAACATTGCTATAGCGTGTTATCGAGCCCGATGACGCTCGATATCCATGTTATAGACATGTTATCGATGTGCTATCGAGGTGTTATCGAGTGCTATCGAATGCGACCGAGCGCCATAACAATCGATAGCATTCGATAGCACCTCGATAACACCTCGATAACATGTCGACAACATTGTTATCGAGTGTTATCGGGGTGCTATCGAGGTGTTATCGGTGTGTTGTTATCGGGCGGTCGCGAGCATCCAAGCTGTCGCTGAGCTGCCGCTGCGCTGAGCGCTTGCCACGCGGCCGTCGCATCAGAGGCCGCTACTGCGCAACTGTCGCATCAGAGGCCCCGTGGCGGGCGTCGCAGCAGAGGCCTTCTGCGAAACGCTGCATGGTTTGGTTAGAGACGTCTCCCGAAGCGGCAACGACATTGCACTCGGCCCTGAACGTGTTCGCGATCCCCTCGGCTGCCATCTGGCAGCGCTGACACGCTTCGGCCGCTCGGCCCATGCTTCCACGCAGCGCAAGCAACATGTGCATCCCCACCCTGGCCGCATTCCTCAGCCCCCGAGCACCGATGATGGGTTGCAACGCTCCGTCATCTCGGCCGACCTGCAGGCTCGGAACGGGACTTGTTTCTCACTGTCTCGACCTGACTGGCTATCCCACCGACCGCAGAGGTCAGCCGCTGGATCTGGTCGTTCATCCCATCATGATCCTTGCTCCAGTCCTTGTCATTGTCCTTGTAGCCATTGCCGTCGCCTCTGCCCTTGCCCCTGTCCTTGTCCTTGCCCCTGCCCCGAACGCCCTGGGGAGGATCGCTGGCCCTGCTTCTTGACCTGCGCCGACGCGGGGCCTGGGGATCTGCTGCCCCGCGCGCCCTGGGGACCTGCTTCTTGACGGCGGGGGGAAATTTGGCGGACTTGGGACAGGGTTGGCCTTCTCCCGCTGCCTTCTGCATACCTCTTTGTCATTGTAAATCCCCGGCTCTATCTCTGGATCCACCTCCTCTCCCAGGATCAGGCTCGCCGATTCGTCGCTCAGGTCATGGTGACTACTCATCATCAAGTGATGCTTGACGCAACACAGAACCTGATCTCGACTCTGGCACGACCAAGCTTTCACCTTGCTCCACGAAGATGCCCCGCATTCACCACTCCCCGGGCATGCACAGACTCTCCACCAAATACGCGCGTACCCTTGGTCGTCGTCTTCGCGGCCCAACCAGGGATTATCCTCATTCTTCTCGGGGAGAAGAACGTTGCCGGTCCTTTTTCCTTAGGCCAGAGTGAAGGTTGCACGATTGAGCGGCTTCCAGCTTGCAAGCGACCAGAAGAGCCACGCTCCGCCCGATCCCATACTGTGCCCTGGAGGCCGCATGCTTCAACAATCTGCCAGGCGTCGTAGGCGCAGCTCCCGGAGCTTCTCTACGCTTAACACGAGCCAGCGGGCAATCTGACTACACAGCCTGCTGGGGCATTCCTCTGCGATGCGGCTTCGCCGCGCACCTTTCGGGCCGGGCCCTTGCAAAATGAGGCGCGGCCGGCCTGTCGCGGAGCACGCGCCGCGGACACTCTGACAGCGGGCGCGCAGTTGCGCGGGGGGCACTACACAATTCCAGGACCGCAGTCTGGTTGGCTTTCTCCAAGCGGTCCCGAATTGGCACGTATCAAAGATGGCATCGCGGCAGCGAGGGTGTGCTGAAAGCTGCCGAATGACAGGTTCCTGCCAGGCGTAACTACTGAGCGGGCTCTCACACACAATCGGCACACCGTGATGCACGCACGCGCGGATGACCATCTGGGTGACAACGAGAGTTGCGTTTCCTACTATCAAGCGCTGCAGGGGCTCGCCCTCGAGATGCGAGTGGCCATGTATATATATATATATATATACACATATATATATATATATATATATTACTGGGACTGCGTAAAATAATTGTGCGAGGCTTGCGACCAGGTCGAGCAAGGAAAAGCGGCGGCGACAGCGAGCACATGGCGACTGGCGATCCATCCTACTATGGTCTGCCCGACCACCTTCGAAGACAAACCGAACAATTCTGAGTGCTTGAGATCCAGTTCGAGGCAGACACCGCGCAGCCGCCTGATGGCGCGGGCGACGCCGCCTGCGCCCGAAAGGAGATCTAGATAGCACGAGGCCCGATCGCCCAGCTCCTGGCGCAGCGCTTCGCTCAGTCCTGCTCGGATCGCAGCTGCTGTCAGCGGCATGCCCCGCACGAGCGCGTCGCCCAGCCGCTGCAGGCGGCCGGCCTTCAGCGCCCCGTTGCGGCCAGGTCGCATGGAGGCAGCAGCGCCGCGCGCCCGCTCAGGAGCGCCGCGGCTTGCGCCTCCACTGCCTCCCCGCACGCTCTCACGCGCGGGGGCGCCTTCCCGAGCTCCGCGAGGTACCGAGTGTGCTTCTTGTACCTCAGCGTGCTCTTGGGGCGCGCGTGCCGCAAACGCTCCTGGATCTCGGCGAGAGACCGCCTCCGGTACAGCGCGTCGTCGCTCGCTGCCCCGTGCCCCACCTGGTAAGGGCGCAGGGCCGGCCGGCCGATCATGGCGGCCGCTCGCTTGAAGCCCGCCCTGAACTCCGCGGCCGTGAACGCCCGCAAGCTGCCGCCGTCTCCTGCTGCCCTCTTCAGCCGCCAGAGCTGGGACTCGATGCCCTTCGCGAAGACCCAGTCGAGCAGCAGCCCCTCGTCCTTTGTGCTCCGCTTTGCTCCGGCCGTCGGCCTCGGCGGGGTACAACGGGCACAGCAGCAAGCCCCAATTCTGAACTCCCGAGCCTGGTGGGGGCGTGATGAGCGACCGCCCCTGCAGGCTCACGATGTCGCTCGGCAGCCGCATGCAGCCCTCCGTCCCACGCGATCGCCAGGCTGATCCGAAGTCCACGCCCGTCGTGACGACTCCGGCCCCCAGCAGCGCAGCAAACTCCGGCCGCGGCAGCGGCAACCTGGCCTGCCCAGGCGCCAGGCGGCGGAAGCCCTGGAGGGCAGCGCGGGCCCGCGCCAGGCCCTCCTCGCCGCCCTGCCTGAACTTCGGCTCCTCGAACGCCAGGCCCGACAACGGCTTGTCGCCTCTCTCGTGGTTGTAGCCGTCGAAGTAGAGGCAGTCCAGGTACTTCACGAGCGTCTCGTCGAGCGCCGCCCTCGAGCTCACGTCCTTCCGCTGCTCCAGGCACCGCGCCCTGAACGCCCCCACCTCGCGGCCCAGCGTGTCGCGGCTCTTGTCCGTCACGCGCCTGCTCTCCAAGAAGCCCAGCGAGCGGCTGCTGCCAGGCAGCCTGGCCGGCGCCGCGAGCGCCGCTGCAGAGCGGCGGCGGGTCGCCCGGCGGCTGATCCGCTCGGCCACCCTCGCCTGCGGCGCCGTCAGCTGCTCGCCCTGCGCCGGCAAGGGCGCCCGCATCAAGCGCCGGCCCGCCGCTCTCGGGGTCGTGGGGATAGTCGGCCTCGCCGCCGTCGGAGCCCGCGTCCGAACTCGAACTGCCCTCGTCCTCTGGAGCCGGCCAGCCTCCCCAGGCTGCGAGCTCCCGGGTGCTAGGCTGCCCGCCCAGCGCGTCGCCGCCGGCTGCCGCTTCAGCATGCAGGCGCGCCGCGCCGCCGGGTAGCGGGTCGTCCAGGAGGGCGTCTCCCAGACCCGCCACGCCCACCCGCGGCCGCCCCAGCCCGTCGAGCTCGCCGCACAGGAGCGCCTCGTCCACCGCCGCGGCCAGCGCAGTAGGCGCATCGGCCTGCGGTGCCGCTGCGGGGTCGAAGCAGGCGCTGCGCGGGTCCGCCCGCGGGTCTCGAGCCAAGGCACCAGCCATGCGAGAGGGTCGATCCGCCGGGTTGAGCTCCGAGGGGATCCGCCGAAAGGTAACCGACATGTCCCCGAAGATGCTTAGCGCGGCAACCTCGCGGCATGTCTTGTTCACGCGGGGGGCGGCCGCCCGGCCTTTCCCCAGGGCCAGCACGAGGCCCAAGTTGTCGCACAGCACGAGCAGCCTGCGCCCATGACGAGAGGCAACCCGAAGATGGTGACGAATGCCGATCACGACCCCGTGCCCTTCAAGACGAATGATGTTCTCAGCTGAACCTGCCCTTGGCCCGAAGCTGCCACGACTCGAGGGGGCCGACGTGTTCCGAGGTGGTCTGCTCGAACGAGACGGTCCCCGAGTACATGTCCCCGAACGCCCGCTCGAAGTCCGAGACTGGGTGCCGGGTCCTCGCAAGAGGTGTAGACTTGGCCAAACTGCAAGACCCCTGACTGCATGAACTCGGACTTTTGTCGGCTCCCACAGGCAGCGGCAGGCTATCGGCAACGTGCAGGCGCTCCGAAAGCCCGAGAGCGCGCGCCCGAGCTGCCACCGCCTCTGACACGCGGTAGCGCCACCGCTCTGCCTGCGAGCACGCCCGGCCGACGTCCAGCGGGCCCCAGGCGCGGCTCACCACGCCGAACCCTCCCGCGTCGGCGTCCGTCGCCCCGCAGGCGTCGGTCGCCAGCGCCACGGGGTCGGGCTGGCGGCGGCAGTCCACGTAGCTGAACACCACGAGCGCAGCGGCGATGCGGAGCTCGGCCTCCGCGGCGCTCCACAAGCGGCGCCGCCGCCCGCCAGCCCAGGACGCGAAACGGTAGGTCGCCGAGAAGATCGACAGCAGCTCGCGTCGCACCAGCGCGCCCCACGTGAAGTGGCCGAGGAGCACCCGCATCTCGTCGCCAGTGGCCGACCCGCGGTCGGCAACGTGCAGCAAGCTCAGGCGAATGCGCCGCATGCGCCAGCGGCTGAGCCCGACGCGGCCCCTCGCCTCGTCGAACACCAAGACCGTGAAGGTAGCCTCCGCGCACGGGCCCTCGAGCCCCTTGCACCTTAGGCCAACGGCCTCTAGTGACTCACGCGCCCGCTGCGCCGTCTCCATGGCCCCCGTGTAGTAGAGGCCGATGACGGCGGCCCCGTCGACGTAGACTGCCGCGGCGGGCCCCTCCTCGAGCGAAGGGGTGGGGCGCTGGTCGCGCGCCAGCCGCTCCCGCGCCAGCCCGCTGCGGAGGACCTGCGTCTCCACCATCTGCTGGCAGAAGAAGAGACTCCAATTCCAGCCCATGGCTAAGACGGCCAGCCGGGGCGACGCCTTCCGCCAAGACGGCAGCTGGGCGGACAAGTCGGGCCGCTCGGCCCGCAGCACGTCGAGGTCGACCGCGGGGAGCACGAAGTGGTCGCGAAGCCCAAGCGGCGTGGCGATCCTGTAGAACGCGTTGTCCACGTCCATCTGGGCCAAATGGAGGGACTTCCCCTTAGGCACGGCCAAGCTGCTCCAAGCACCCGCAGTCGGGAGCTCCGAGTGCGCGGGAAGACGAAACCGCATGTTCGCCACCCGCGTGTCCGCAATCATGCGGAGGGACCGCTTGTCGCTCTTGAAAACAAAGAAGATGCCCACCGTAGCCTCGGTCCGCTCGCCAAGGTCGATCAGGCCCCTGACGAGCAGCTCCCCAATGAAGCGAGCGTACGTCTTCTTGCAATGCACTAATTTCGGATCGGAGAAAGGTCGAAGTCGAGGTCCGTCAGGCGGCCCTTCTTCGCGTAGAAGATGCTTCTGCCATCCTACCCACAGCTCAAGAGCACGACCAGTCAAGCAGTCGGCGCCGACGCACTGGCCGCCCATGGTCGGCAGGGAGACCAGCCCCTCGGAGTAGGAGGCTCGGCGCACGGTGTCTTCTGCATACCCCGGCAAGTGAGAGCACAGCTCGGCGTGAGCTGCCGCCCCTGAAAAAGGTGGAGGCCCCGCCTCCCGGATGATCTCGCGGACGCGGTCAATGCCGGCGAGCTGGGCGCGCGAAACTTGAAGGTCCGAGCGTGGAGCTCCATGTCCGTACAATGAATTGGTAGCGTGCAAAGCCTCAGAGAGCCACCGCGCAGCGTGCTGACGCTGCCGAATTCGAGAGCGCACCGCCCGGCATCCCCCGCCGTTCCAGTCACGGCCGGGCGCGGGCACAGGGCAGGGCAGCAGCTCCGAGCGACCACCATGAGCTATCGGCCTCCGCCCCCGCCGGCATCTGGCTTGCCGGTGTGGGGGCCTTTCAGCTTCGTCTGGAGCTTGCTGATCTCCGCCGCCTGCGCCGCCACCTTGTCGTGCAGCGCCTTGATGCCGTCGCTGCCCGAACCCTGGCCGCGCGACAGCATCCTCTCCTCGCGAAGCTTCCGCTTCTCCTTCATGAGCGTCGCCTCCTTGTGGAGCTCTGCCTGGATGTGCTCCGCGAGCGTCGGGCACACCATCAGCAAGCCCCTCGTCTCCGAGGCCCCCACGTACAGGTACTCATCCTCCAGGTGCTCGTCGCCGCTGCTCTTCAGCAGCCGCTCCCGGTGGCGCCACTCCGCGAGCTGGGCGCGGCGCGCCAGGAGCTCCACCAGCGCCAGCACGGTCAGGTTGAGCTGGTCGAAGCCCGCGCCGAGCTCCAGCGCCCGCATCGCCAGCTCGTGGTGCGACACGCCGACGTGAGCCGGCCCGAGGCCGCACTCCGCGCGCCACTTGGAGTGGCGGGCGCGCGGGTGCGAGTCCTGCTCCGCGAGGAAGCGGACGCGCCAAAGCGCGGTGCGCGGCCCCTTGACTGGCCACCCCGACCACGCCGTCTCCGTCACGCCGCGCACCGCGCCCTTGAACACCCGCCTCCTCTCGCCGTCGAGCCCGTGCAAGATCGGCATCACGCGGGCGTCCATCGAGCTCTCGGCCTCCTTCTCCGTCACCGCCTTGACTAGGTAGCACCTCCCGCCCGCCTTCGCGATGGCCAGTCCTCCGCACATCGCGTGCCACTCGCAGCCATCGAAGTCGGCGAGCACATTCACGTCGCTGTCGTCCTCGCTCGCCGTGATGAGCCAGCGCTGGTTGCCGACTGCGGGCAACCTTCCGGAGCCGCGCTCGAGCCCCTCAGAAGGAGTCGCTGTCCCACCCAGAGCCGTCAGGTCCTCGGGCCTCGCCGCCAGCGCTGACGCCTCCGCCGCCTCCGGCGCTGCCGCGCCGCGAGACTCGAGAAGCTCCATGAACGCGAGAGGCGGAGGAAACCACTGGTCGCCGTAGGTCGGGCGGGCCACCAGGCGGCCCGATCCTCCGACTCGGTCGCGCCATCGCGGCTGGCCCATCCGATCGCACGGGGCCAGCGCGTGCAAGGGCGGAACCTCGAGCTCGTGCGGATAGATATCCTCGTCGGGAGTAGCTGCCATCCACGCTGGACTCGTCGGACTCATCGGAGGACTCCCGAGCTCGCGCTCGTACTCGGCGGCGTCGGAGGGACGCAGGAGAAGACGTACCTGGAAGTCCTCCTGAGCGCGCCACTGCACCAGCACGCGAGCTCCAGCCCGCAGCTCCAGCGCCATGCCAGGCGACGCTGCCCGCCAGTGCGCACACCGTGCAGCAGCAGCAGCAGCCCACCAGCGTGCCTATGCAGAAGACCAGCAGCAGGAGCGCACGCGTGCCCCCCAGCTGGTCCGCCGCCACCGCCAGCTGTCCAGCCTCCGCCGCGATACTGCCGAGGTGCCGAGCCCAGTCAACCGCAAATTGCCTGGCCGCGAGAAAACCTGACCGAGCGACGAAATTATGAAGCATGCGGTCGCCGCTCTCAAAAAGGCTTGGGCCAGCACGGCAACGGACAGAAGCACAGCACACGAGTGAGCTCTTCTCTGCATCCTGCCGTGCAGCGGCCGAGACTGTGGAACAGGCAATCACGTTCACAGAGCTAGACAGAGCCATGGCGCCTGCTGCCGCGGTCGCCTCGGCCGCCGCTCGAGCGGCGCAGACTTCTGCCCCTGCGGGCGGGTTGCTTGAAGCCTTTTAAAAAGCCAAAGCGCAAAGCGCTTTGGGAGGCGCAGCGTAAATCGTTTTGGGCTGTGGCAAATTATACGTTGGCAACATAATACATGTCATATGCAGTGCGGAGCGCTGTCTGGTCTAAATGATAACCACATTACAACGCACAGGGTACTTCAGTCCCTGCCCCACAAGCGCGCTGCGCTGTCGCGAGACTAGGACACCCCAAGCGCACTAACCCCCAAGCGCACTGCGCTGCCGCAAGGCTAGGCCACCCTCTCAAGCGCACTGCGCTGTCCAGCAAGGCCATGGGCCACCCCCCAGCGCACCGCGCTCGCTGCGCAGCAAGCACTATCAACACACGCGCTCGCGCTGTTAGTTTCTTTCCGTATGGCCATTTTGGCACAAGGATCGCAGCGCGCTGCGCTTCGTTGCAATATCCATCGTTCTTCCTTTCCATATCGCTTGGCGGATGGCCGATGCCGCCGATCAGCGCAGGACTCGACTCGCTGCGAAGGTCGCTGCGCAGAAGCAGACCACCAAGGAGCTGAAGGCCACGATCAAAATGCAGGAACGCGCGATCAACCGCATCACGGGCACGGCTGGGGGGGGGGAGGGGGCATAGGGCCGCGGAACGGCATGGGGCAGAGGCGCGCGAGCGAGAACGGCAGCGGGCAGAGGCCAACGCCCTGCAGCAGGAACGGCAGAGGCAGGAGGAGCAGCGGCAGGAGTACCTGAGGATGAGGGTGGCTGAGCAGAGGCAATGGGCGGATATGACCTACAACCGTTTGGCCGCTGAGGCGTGCGAGAGGGGCGGGGCGCCCCCTTTTCGCAAGCGGGCGTGCGGGGCGGCCGATGAACCGACTGTTGCCCCCGACCTCAATCAGGCGACTGCCGCGGGCGATGGCGACCGTCGGGGAGATGGCGACCGTCAAGGAGATGGCGACGGTCAAGCCGATGAGGCGCTTGCTGCGGGCGGTGGCGACCGTCGGGGAGGCGATCCCGATCTATATCTCTGAGTAGGCCGCCACGGCGGCGACGACGGCGATGCAACGTCGACGAGGACGAGGGCGACGGCGGCGACGGAAACTCGACGAGGACGGCGACGACAAAGACGACGACGCTGAATGTTGCAGCTTGAACGTTCTGTATATAGTGCCGTCGCCTCCCGTGTGGACGGCTGTCGGTCGCGTCGCCGCGCAGACCTCGCGGCCCCGTCGCGGCTAGGGGCGCCTCGCTGGAGCACGGAGCTATGCGCTTGAAAAACATGTTGTCTGACGCAGCGCTATGCGCTTGAAATGTACAGCGCTATGCGATTCAACTGCATGGCCTGGAATCTAGAGTGCGGGCGCAGCGCTATGCGCTTACTATGCACAGTCTGGCGTAGCGCTATGCGCATATTATGTACAGCGCTATGCGCTTCAAATTTATGCTCTGGAATCTGGGGCCCGGGCGCAGCGCTATGTGCTTAACAGGTATAGTCTGAAACCTGGGGCAGCGCGACAGCACAGCGCGCTTGACTGATCCTTGTTTTTTTTCGCAGAGGCAATGCGCTAACGGCCCGATCCGCGGGCAGGAGCAATTAGAACACATCAGGTGGCTGCTCTACGTCTTGCCCTTACAACCGCCCGCGTTGTCGCCATGCTTCTCCTTCCAGGTTCTCCGCTGCGCCGCCCACTCGGTCTCGCCTCCATCCGACTACACAGGGCCCTCGGCATGGCCAGCGCCGCTCGATGCCGCCGCCGCCACATTGCTGTCCAGCTAGAGCTTTTCCAAGACGGACTCCAGCTTTTCCATGGCGGACTCCAGCTTTTCCAGGTGTTCAATCTTCTTCTTCTTCAAGGCCTGGTCCATCTTCAGCTCCAGCTCGCCCAGTTTTGCCGTCTTCTGCAAGACCTGGTCCAACTTCTGATCCAGCTCGTGCACTTTCTCCGTCTGGGCCAAGACCTGGTCTATCCTATCAATCAAGGCACAAGCCCTGGGGTCATTCAACGCCTGGTCCACCATCTGCAAGGCGAGCTCCGTCTTCCCCTCGTTCTTGATGAGACTGGCGATTAAGCTCTTCATCGCGTCACCATTCTGTCCAACCATCGTGATCGCAGCAAGCAGGAGGTCCACTGGGTCCACGCTCGGCCCCGCCGCCGCCGCCGCGTTCAAGCCCCAGGATGCCCCCGATGGGGCGCCTAGCTTGGGCTCCGCCGCTGGGTCAAAGCTGGGCCATGCAGCTCCTGCTGGCCCCCCTGCGGAAGCGATGGCCGATCCGAACCCGACTCCTGTTGCCGCCGCTGCGGGGGCGTTGGCCGTAGGGGCCGCTGCTGCCGCCGCCCTTGCACCCGCCGCCCCCGCGCCCGCCGATCCAGCTGCCGCCGCCGCCGCCACCGCGCTTGCTGGCGCATCCTCCTTCGGCTCTGCGCCGCCCCGCCCTGCGCCGCCGAGACCATCGTATTCGGGGGAGGTCGGCCCCCCATACTTGTCGGACCTTACCACTTTCTCGATCTCGACCTTGCACATGTTGTCAGCCCCCGTGATGTGTTCTAACTCCTTAAACCTCATTATCCAATTCTGCCTCTGTGCTCAGCAGAGTCCAAGTGCTCGTTGGTCGCCGTCTTCAATGTGCCGTTCTTCTTCGCGCGCAGCGTGCACGCCCAACGTGCCGAAACAGTAGCGGAGGTGGCCGCGGACTTGTGCCGCGGCGCGCTTCGCTTCCCGCCGCCGCTGGGTGCCAATATCCCAAGGCAGTCCGCCTCCGATACCTCGTAGCGCTCCTCGTCCCATGTCTGAGCTCCACTCGGCTCAAGAGCGGCAGCGGTCACCATCGCTGGCTGGTTCTGCTTCGCTGGGCGAATCTTCGCGGCCCCAACTGC